AACGACTTAACTACCAAACATAGAAAATGTTTTACTTACCGGTAATCCATCTGGGACAGGTTAGCTGTAAAAAAGCCACTGGGGAAATAAATTGGATATCCATTACAATTGTATGCTCGTTCTGATTCCCTATGTGTTTTAAAGTATCATTGTTTTTCTGCTCTAGTAGTTATAAATTAAACTGTTTTAGCTTAACGATTAAGTATATTTAAATATATTTATAAAGTTGCGATAAATAAAACTACTTAAACAATACACAGAACATTTTATTTCAGTTAAAATAAGTGTATTTTAAACCTATTTTTTATCTATCTCTGTAACAGTAGCTCGAACACAATCCGAGCTTTAAAAGGCTTACTGACGTTTTTGTGGATCAAATCCACCGATATATTGATTTAAAAGAATTCAATAACAATGCAAGTACCCAGAGCAAAATTGTATAGCTGTTAAATACAACCATATAAATAAATACTAACGTTATAGGTATCTTTGCTAAAACGAAAATTATGAAACGTGTATTATCCCTGGCTTAATATTATAAACTTTTCTAAATACTAAATTATATGTTATTATCTGTGTACCGGTATTCAACCTTGATTCGGTTATAACTACACCAACTGGTCATTGACCTTTAAGCCCTTTCATGAATTCTAACGAGATTTTGTTTGATATACGGTTGCAGTGACTATAGGATTAACTCTCTCTCCTAACCTAATATAACTTTGTGGTAGTGTATTGAAATGATGTGATTATTTAACGATTTTCAAGTCCTAGTTTTTAAAGTTGTTAATTTTGTTCTAATAAACTTTACTATTTTTATACATTCATTATAGTCATTTTTTTTATAAACGCGTATTCTTTCATTAGTAGGACAACGTTACACATTACTTTTAAATCTTGAACTAGAAATTTCTTTGGTAACTGAGTGGGTACTTACCTTTAAACTGAAGCTTGCTGGGTCAAATCCAAGTGATTACCGAATGACGCTATCTAACAAAAAGTCACTAGATAATGCCAATACCAGGGCTTAGACTATTAAAAAATGTGGAAGGGTGTCTGTGGTGTCAAATCGGATGCACTCATTTCAAACTATTATTCGCAATTAAAATGGTTTAATAACTCCTTTTTTGTGCTACCACGGACTAGTGGATATACAAAACATGTTATGTTCACCAATAAGTTCGTACTATTAATAAGATTTTAAAATATACACACAGTAATATACAATTGTTAAATGGCTTGATTGAAATCGCTTGTGTTACACACAGTGCACTCATAAAATATTGTATTATAAAAAAGTCCTTTATATCTATATTTCAGTGGACGTTTCTTAACAGATGTTCTATAACAATTGGTCTTTAAAGTCGGTTCACAACTTACATACCAACAAATGAAGCTTGAAAAAAGGATATAAACACAAATAACTATATGGATTCAAGGTGAAGGACCTTGAGCGAGATTGTAGAAAAATCTAACTTATCATCGTAATCTTGTTTGAGTAGGTGAATGCGCATGCTATTCAACTTTATCTGCAGAGTGATATAAAAGTATTGAAATCCATATAAATGTCACAAAATGGCTTCGACTTTTTTGTTTATGAGTTGGCGAAAATAAAATGATAACGAAGCTAATAAAAGTGCAATTGGCCGGTAAAAGGGTTGCACAGTTTGGGTATTGAATTGCAAATGATTCTGGTAACTCCCAGATAAACAAGTGGCCAATCGACTCTGCACGGTTAATTCACTCATCAGTGTGATTGATTCTGTTATATTTGCTGCTTTAATTTCAATGGTATACTTATAATATACTATATATATATGAATAATTAAGGTTTAATTTAACCACTTTCGTCTAGATAAGCTCTAATAAAATCCTTTTCGACAAATCTTTTCTTTTCTATTATAATATTACCAGCTTTACTAATTTAACTTTTTTCAATTATTTGGTTAGATTTATAAAATCAAAATCGTAGTCTTTTTTTAGTTATTTTGATAGCCCTACATATTTATTTTATTTTTGAGTATTGTGTAGCTAACAGATTACCTATGCAGGGCTTCGTACGTAACTATTTCGGTATCGTAATATTATTTTATCACCCAATAGTCAGTGTTTTGTCATACAGGGTGACAAAAAAGTCTGGAAACGGGTTAATATCTTTTTAACTAAATTCGTTAGAAAATTCAAACATTTTACATCAACTTATATGTATGAAAACTACTTTTTGCAATCATTGCCATTATTTGACCTTCACCAGGGGACGGCCCACGAGGAATATGTACATAATCTTTAATGTAAGCATAGGTTGATATGCACATCATTTTAAAGGTCTGGTCAAGTGGAGTTCATTGCCGGAAACCGCGTCCAAAAAGGTTCATCCATTACAAAATGGCAGCTGTCCAAAGTTCTTGTGAAATATACCTGCACAGGCCTTAGTATGGGCAAATACTCGTATTAAACATTAGTTTGAGAGCTTAAACTGTATTTTAAAGTCAACTAGCTCATAGAATAATAGTATTCAATCTTCAAAACAAATTTAACCGGGTTTCAGATTTCCCTGCTAATGTTGACTTGAGTATTTACCAATACTAAGGCCTCTGCAGGTATATTCCGCAACAACTTTGAACTGCCGCCATTTTGTATCAGATGAACCTTTTTTGACGCGGTTTCTGGCAATGAACTCCACTTGACCAGACCTTTAAAATGATGTGCATATCAACCTATGCTTACTTTAAGATTATGTACCTACTCCTCGTGGGCCGTTAACTGGTGAAGGTCAAATAATGGCAATGATTGCAAAAAGTAGTTTTCATACATATAAGTTGATGTAAAAGGTTTGAATTTTCTAACGAATTTAGTTAAAAAGATATTAAACCGTTTCCAGACTTTTTTGTCACCCTGTATATGATCAAAATCTTCGTTTACCTTTAATTTATTTATACAGGCTGATTTGTACTCAGTGTGACAAAATTTTTTTGGTGTAAGTACAAAGTAAATGAAGTGTGATCATGCATATCAAATGTTCAAAGTCTAAAATTTAGCTTCCCAAAAAAATATTTTATGTTTTACAAATATAACCCTACTTTTAAACTTGATACAGCGATTTCTCAATTACCTGTATATGGATTTGAGTAGATAAAGCCATTTTCGTGTTCTACATTAAATTTTGAACAAGAATAATAGAAAATGACGGAGGATCAGTTGTAAAAACTCCATTGGAAATAGATTCAAAGATAAAAATTAGGATGTTTGATAAAAGTTTAAAAAACAATGATCTATTGCATTTTTCACACCCTGTATACAAGAAAGTGTCGGAATATGTTAAAAACAGCGCCATTTTATAAGCTTTCCAACCATATGCTACACTATTGAGGTTCATGTCTGCTTACGTACGCATTAATGGTTTGAAGACTACAAAGCATGGTGTCTTTAACATTTAAAACATAGAAAGTCGGCATTTATTAAGCAAAAGTTGTATTTTTGTTTCAGCTTGAACAGTAAAAACAGTAAAAAATTTCCTGTTTTCCGGTATTCAAACCACTAAAACAACCAAAAAAATATCTAAATCTCAATAGTGTAGCATATGGTTGGAAAGCTTATAAAATGGCGCAGTTTTTAACGTATTCCGACACTTTCTTGTATACAGGGTGTGAAAAATTGCAAAAGATCATTGTTTTTTAAACTTTTATCAAACATCTTAATTTTTATCTTTGAATCTATTTCCAATGGAGTTTTAACAACTGATCCTCCGTCATTTTCTATTATTCTTGTTCAAAATTTAATGTAGAACACGAAAATGACATTATCTACTCAAATCCATATACAGGTAATTGAGAAATCGCTGTATTAAGATTAAAAGCATGGTTATTTTTGAAAAACATAAAATATTTTTTTGGGAAGCTAATTTTGAGACTTGGAACATTTGATATGCATCATCACATTTAATTTACTTTGTATTTACACCAAAAAAATTTTGTCACACTGAGTACAAATCACCCTGTATTTTCTTTACTATTGCTAAACACAACATGGCTCACTCAAAGCAAATTTACCAGTTATTACTAGAGGAAAAACTAGGGCAATAGCTGTAATAATTGAAATAAATGTATTAAAGAGCTACTACTTAAAATGAGTATTTAATGTTTATGTAGTTGAAAGATATAACTAAAGATACTGAGGTACTTATAACCTGACAATGGCTACGTATTCAAATTTCGTCACGTCTACAATATTAAATTACGATAATTCAGTCTCTATACACGTGATCTGCCTGAGTACTGTCAGCTAAATAATAAGAATATTATTCTTCATAGCCAGGTTTTTAAAGTTTGTTGAAACCTTTTTGCATGGTTAGACAAAATACAAGTGTAATAAAATATCTTTATCTTTATCATCGGCTGTTTTTCCACAGTAGCGAGCTGAAGATGTATTAGCGTTAAAATTGCATTTTAAGACGCAAAACCCAAGCAAGCCATGTTTTTCAAATAGTTATCGAATAGTATGATACGTCGAAAATTATTGTTCATCACACGTGTCAAAAGTGCCTTTCCGACTCTCAAACAAGTTCCTCTTTTGCTACCTTAAAAATAGTCTTTGTCGTAGTTTTGGAATAGACTAAAAAGACACTCCTTCTACAGACATTTTTTAATAAAAGCCACCGACGTGTTATTTGTGATAGACATCTAAGTAAAGAGTAACTCAGTTTGTTGGGAACCAGCTGGTCTAGAGGTGGAGCGTTCTTTGGTCCCCTAAATCCCCGGTTCAAATCCCGCCAATCAGCCATAACTTTTGGTTATGAGATAATGCCACGATCGATTAGGTCCAATCTGATGTATTGTGTAAAACGGGCGTCCTGTGGGGACGCTAATTTTAACAAATTCGCAGTTCGCCGAAAGCGTTGTAAATGTAAAGCTTTTAGGAGATCTTCTACAACAACGAAAGCACTCAAAGCTATTTTTCTACGGTACATGTTATTATTTTTAATGTGTATTATTTTGTTGCAGTCCCGGTTACTCTGAAGATAACGCCTACTGGGTCGGCGCTACAGACACGGGGTTCGAAGGAGACTTCCGGTGGGTGGACGGCCTTCCTTTTACCTATACAAGTAAGTCTTAGATATTTTACCAAATTTTAATTCACCCAAATAACTACCTTTCAATATGAGTTATTGGTAATTTAGGAGGTAAAAATAAAATAAAAGTGTTAAGAAACATTCCCTTTAAGTAGGCCTAGTGTGTTTTATCGTACTAATAAATAATTTGCACACAATAAATAAAGTGGTACACCTTTACTATAATTATGCCAATAAAAACAAACAGGTGGGTAAATGAGACGTACTTATTGAGTACAGTACATAGATGTCAAATATGAACGGAGACATGCTCATCTAGACTGTTTAATTATTTATATTATGATTAACGATAAATGATAATATTAAGCATACTGAGTACTAAAATGTTCTTAAAGACTTAAAGTGCAACCGATTGTATTTAGCAGATTAACGTGTTTATATCACTGGTACTGTATATAAATATTTATCACGTAAACTTTAAATTACAAAGATTTCGTGAGCTCATGTAAGTATTTTACTATTTCATTTAGTAGTACCATTGACTATAGGTAGTAGAGGTGTATAGTCAATGGTAGTACTTTTGAGACCTAACAAAAAGATTTCCATCCGTGTTTTTGAAACTTGATAATATTTTTTAAGCTGATTTCTAATTTTCGACTAACGGCTTATTATTAAGAGGATTTATTTATATTTTACTGAAACAAAGAGCGTTTATTTGAAATACTGATTTGGTATATTACAATATTCTAACTTAAATGTATTTTTACAATTTAAAATACATCGGATGGTAATAATAGTAAAGAATATCAGTTTAAATTTTTACAAACAAATGTTGTAGAGTAAAACACGTAGATTATAATTGTAATAGTATTTTGGCCTACAAGACTAAAAAAGCGTATCCACAGTATAATTTAATGAAAAAATGTTATGGGATTTTACACGCTTTTAATACTTTGAATTTCATTATAAAATATTAAATATTATTTCAATTCGTATTGAGTTGATCAAGCTACACTTTAATCAACATAAATACAGTACCTTCAATGTTAACTAGTATGTAACTAATTGAACCTAATAAGTTAGTGTAAATAAATGTGTAGCGTGAAACTTGTACATTCTGTCTTTTAATTAATCATTCAGTTAGAGTATTTTAATTGAGTGATTTATTACATGTTGTTTACAAACCCCACACTTGCTTGTTTGTTTATTGCTAATTCTCTTTAATACATGTTATAAATTAAATGTCTCATGATGACATTCTTACTCACAGCTAAATGCTCAGGGACAAATTATTTTTGTTTAAATTAGTTTTTGGTAAGAATTAAATATTACTGTAAATAATACTCGTATTTATCCATTCGATAAATTGTCTAGTTATATTGTAAATTGTATGGGAATATATTTTTAATCCCCTTAACAGTATACTTACTATGAACAAATAACATCAATACCAACATCCATCAATGCACCAACATTGACTTTTCAAAATTAGTTAGTTGTTTATTTGAATTATTATTTTAAACTTTAGATTATTGTGCCGATAAATCATTGCCTGCCAAATTAAGCAAACAAATTATGTATTCAGCATGGAAAAGTCTTCAGAAAAACCAAGGCAAGATTATTATATCAACGAAGCTTTTACTTACCTGGAAAGAGTTACGAATGACCATTCAATAAATATTCTACTTATACGTTTTACCCAAACAGGTATATTTAGTCCGTGATATCCATTGTATATTTGGGTTTACGTTGCAGTAATCTTTCTTAGAGAGATGTAACGCATGCTTTGTTGAATTCTTATTCTAACCCAATACGAAATTTATTTTGGCCAGAACTTTTTTTTTTCAAATAAAATACCACCAACCATTAATTAATTTATTTATTTATTGTAATTTATTTTAATCAAATACTTAACGATTTTGGATACAATAAATTTTTGCCCAGCTCATAATACATTAGATAATATTCAATCACTCCACATCAGCTAAGCTTAATCATGATTCTCTATTATGAAGAGATATAAGCAGACTGTTATAGAACATAATTAAAGAAAAAAGGCCGAGATCAAAAGGCGAGAGATTATCATGGTATACACGTGTACATGTGTCGGGCCAACCAGGATTAGACATGTGATCGGAATGAAATATTTGCAAGGATATTCAATACTGTATCTATTTACAAATTAATTTTATAGATCACTCTTAAAAATCTAAAGATTTTAGTTTTTTATAATAATAATTAGAGGTTTGTTCGTATTCTAATAGTATATGGAAAATTTGAAATTTTTTTACCTTACCATTATTATTTTTATTGCATATTCCCTTAGATCTAAGTGTATCTTATAGAACCAATGCGTTTTGTTGAACCAATTTCTCTATTTATTTATAATTTACAGTTATTGAACATTAAACATTCTCCTTCTTTAGTAACAGTCTCATAATTGCTGTATTTTGTCACACTTAAGACCTAACTTTACTTATGCCGATGTATAAAACAGTAAAAACCACAATTGAAAAAATACTATTCAGACTTCTGAAGTACAAAACAAAAACGTCAGTGGTCCTGCACCTACGCTATTAGAGCTACTGTCTCTAATTATAGGGAAGTCTATAAGAAAATATGGTACAACAAATTATATTTCTTTCACATTTTCCTTTAGCTCAATCTTTTTCTGATACGAGATAAATTGCAAGACCTAGCCTACTGCACATGGGGCTAGTGTAAGATGGATGGGCCGTTGTTACTGTACTTAATCACTCTCTCTACATCAAATTGATAATACCCTGCCAAGCCATTCATCTAGGTAATTTTCCTAATAGATTCATAGTAATAAGTAAATGGGTGCAGGTATGACATTGGTTTTTATTTTTCAAATAAAAATATGAGATTTGTATAATCTGTATTAACGTAAAACTTATACGAGATTCAACTTAGCTAAGAAGGAAGTCTAGCTAAACTATCAGTATTATGAAAATATAATTAAATTATTAATAGAATAAAAGTATTAAATATAGGCCTATATTTCGCTGTTTTACGATATTTTAAAAATACAAGAATGGTACTAAATATAATTCCTTACAATATAACTAAAATAAAGTGAAATGGATAATTAATTATTGACACCAACTGTATTTCAATTAAATCAACTTTGAAAGCATTGTTTATAAGCAGGGTTGATAAGAAATTTTAAATTTAAATGTGAAATTAGTTTGGTTCGACATAGACAAATTTCAGTCTGCGAAATCAACCTATCTCCAAAAACATCAAAATTCGATTTCCTCAAATATCGTTTGCTGTAGTATCGTTGACAGTAGACTTTCACCCTAACAGAGTTACATTTGTTTTTGGAGCCGAAACGCTTCCAGTTAATAATTCGATTTCTTTGTCAAAATTTCATTTTGTAAACATTTTCCATCGCTGTGCTATGTATTCTCCAAATAAAGTTCAAAAGAGCGTTACTTTGCATGAAAAGTATCTGTAATCAAGTTTAAACGTTATACTTTGTGAAAATTCACTTTGCAATCCTTAATACTTCTAGCAACAAGGTTATAGATTGCCTAGTTTCATTCATAGTCATTTTTAGTACAGTGTTATTGCAAGAAAAAAGAAATGCCATCCTAATAATGTTTACATGATTGGCTGACAACTAAAAATTATTATTTGTAAAAGAGCTAAGAACGAATGGTTGACTGTTGGGAAACATAAGTCTAAAAGAAACTTAGTCTTAAATCTAGTTACAGTTTTAAGTGAAAATACCGCTGCCAGCTCAGCAAGTGTTGAAATTACGTTAGAGTGTAAACAGACTTTTTTCATCAAGTGAAATAAAATAGTCAGGAAATATTTTCAAATATATTGTGCTACAGGATTCTGCATTAGATATTTGTCTGACATAAACCACTTATACAAATAAACAAACATTATTTGATCGAGCCGATTAATGTTTAGTTTAAAAACTACAATATTACAATAATACTTTATTAATAATATTTAAATTAATATAATTAATTTAAAAGTGATGTTTGATCACGTCTAAAAAAAATATTAATCTAATTAATTTTCCGCTACGGATACAAACATTTGTGAGCTTTTAGTAAGCTAATACATTTCAATCGTTTTGAAGAATTCTCTACATCGATCAAGTGTGATAAGTGTAAAAGATGGTAGGCTAACTATCACATAACTTTAAAACCACAGTCAATCGTTTATTTTAAAGCTAAGAGCTTATCGGGTCGTTGGACATATATTCTAACATAGCTGTAAACAATAACACTATTTATAAAATATTGAAGCTTTTAAAAAGGGGATGCCAAAAAGTGATTGCCAAACCCGGACGGGCCAATAAGCTGATTGGCTGCTGCACCAATATTGGTCTTAAATGCCAATCAAAACCGACACCTTGATATTGGAGTCATGTTCTGCCCAAATCCAAATTTCATTTTTTGCTAACTTTCAGATTTCTGGTCCATAACTATTACATACATAACAACTTGTACTCAAAACTGTGATGTATGTTAGTGCAAAGAATAGTGCATTAGTGTATGATTTTATTTTCAACTGTTAATTATCTATACAGCGTAGAAATCATGTTTTGGCCAATTTTTATACAATTTAAGATTATTTGTGAAATTGGTGCCAAACTGTACAATTGATGCATTTAAACGACATCTTTATTTCTGTTAGTTTTCATAGTGCTAAATGTTGTTACAGAAGTAAGAAACGTGTGTTAATCTTCAATCGATTTTCCCAAAAATAATGATAAAATATAACTAAAAAATATTCATTCTTGTATCGTTAAACTATGCCTTATTCGTTCATAAAATTTGTAAATAAATATAACCACGATTTGTTTTCTTTACTTATAAATTATAACAGCGAGGACCGTGTGTTAAAAAAAATCTTTTTACATGCAAATTATCAAATCCGTAACCTAAATATGGTTAGAAAATGACAAGTTAAATGCCCCGTAAGGTGTAACATTCGTTGAGTGCCAACTGAGTTAGGGACTAAGTAAGTAGGTTAGAGTTGTTTTGCCA